ACTGTTCTGTTTAGTGTTAAAGTAAGTCCAAGGTGGCTTTCTCTCCCTAAAGAAAACTATGGCCAAAATGGAGCAGAGACTGAAATGTGATTTCTGCGTCTTTGTTAAGAGGGGAAAAGTTTATGGTGGTTGATGGGATACCATGAGCATATTTATGTGTGTCTTGAGAGCTTTCTGAAACAAGGATTGTAGGCAGTGATGCTGGTTGGTTGTTTTTCAGACCAAATGCCAAAAGACGATACAAAAATCAGAAGTTTGGTTTTGGTGGGAAGAAGAAGGGCTCCAAGTGGAACACAAAGGAGAGTTTTAATGACGTATCCAGCTTCCAGTCAAAAGTGGCTCACAACAAAGGCCCAGGAAAAGGAGGAAGAGGAGGAAAAGGAGGGAAAGGAGGGAAAAAAGCCCTTAATGTAAGTAAAATGTTGCATGAAATCAATCCTGGTTGGCTTGGAAGCCAGTCCATGTCTGGCAGGGAGAGATGAGTGCATGATATGTGCCTCCAGCATCAGGAAGTGATGCCTGTCTTTGGGAGCTAAGCATAATTCAGTTACTAACAGAGCTGGGGACAGTGGTTTGGTATCAGCAGGAAAATCAGAAAGGGAGTTCAAAAGTGCTGTTTGCTACCTGTGTGCCAAAACCTTCTTCTCCAGACATTCTGACAAATACCCTCTCTTTGGTATCCTCCCCAAGCTATAGAGCTAAAACAAAGATGGAGAACATGAAAATAAAAATCTGAATCTATCTTTTTTTTTTTGCAGAAGAGACCTGGAAAGAGAGCAAGGCAGAAAATGAAGAACCGAGCCCGCTAAGAGAACTGTGCTCCCCAGAGGGGTTCCTGTGTTTCTTTGTGTTGCAAGATGTGTTTCTGCCGTCATCAAGCAGTTAACTGTGGAACAGGCTGGATGCTTTGCAGTGGCAAGGAAAAAAAGCCAGTGGAAACAGTGCCTTATCACTCAATTTTTTTTCTTACTGTCTGTTTTGTTGAAGGATTGTTTTCTACTTAAACCTGTTTTGTGTGAATGCATTAAGTGGTTTGCACAGAACTATGTGTAATTCATGTTTAGCTGTTCAATGAATGGTGGCTGAAGTCTGCCCTTTGTTCCCTTCATTCTGACAGCTTTTTCCACCACTACTGTTAAGATGAAGTTGGTGACCTTGAGTTCTGCATCATGTTGCCAATGTCAAAATAAGAAGTCTGAAGCTTTTTGAGATGTTAGATTATCTGTGTAGATGGGTATAGGAACAGCAATGAGACAAATACAGAGCCTTACAGATAGGTTTATTTGTGACACTGTTGTCAGGTTGTAAATCTGGACAGATTAATATTCTCTTTTCTATTGTCTCTCACTAGAAATCTGCCAGACTTGCTAGATAACAAGCAGGACCTAACACATTAGATGTCAACATCTATCTGTAGCTTTCCTCCTGGTCTTTAGACTTCTGTCCCCGTGGTGCAGGGTAGCCATGGATGGTGATCTCAGTTGTCTGGCGTGGGAAGTAGAATCTGGTATCACTGCGGTCAAAAGGAACCTGGGAAGCAAGAATGACAAACAGTCATGTGCTCTTACTAAAATCAGTAGTAGGAGTCCCTCCTGGAGGAGTGATGCATGGTGTTCCACTGCTGAGAAATGTCCAAATGACAGAAGAGCAGGGTACCACTGTATTGTTCTCTGCTTTGTTATGGTCAAACCTGCTGAATACGGAAAACTTAACAAATTAAACAATATCATCTGTTCTGACTCTAAGAATCAAACTTGCTTCCCTACACACAAGTTTAGTTGCCTCCACCCTGCCAGACTAATCCTACCAGCAGTTCCTTAATACCACAGAGCCCAGCTGGGATGTCTGTCTCCACTCTTGTCATTACTAACTAGTTTACTTGATATATAATATGAAAAGTCAATGAAGACTGTCTTATTTTCTTATTTATCTTAGTTTTCTTTATAACAGGCCAAAATTTGCCTTTCCCAAAACGCTAATTGCTCTTCATCATCACAGCTGTTTGCCAGATATGATTGATGTCTCAGCTTGTTAATCATATTTCTTCTCCTGTTTATTCACACTTCCCCAGATGAATCCTCACTGTTGTATCTGCTTTGGGTATACTTAGATGATTATTAATTTTATGGTTCTGCTTGCAATTACTTTGAAAGATGCTGTGCAGCAGCACGTTTCTTTTCACAGTACTTCAGTACATCACTTTGCATTGCTCACTATGCCATTTCTCATGGCTGAATGCTTTAATAAACAGCCCTGAGTACACCTGTGGCATTTGGCAGTGTGCTGTCACTGTCTGTAGATGTTTTGCAGTCAGGTTTCTCAGGGGAAGTGTACTGCTTCTCTGTTCACGAGTCTCTGCTAGTGTGAAGAGTCCTCTTAGGTGTAAATTTAAAAAACTTATTTTCTGTGAACAGCTCTGCTCATTCCCTGTAATTCTTGTTTTCCTTGTTTGTCACAAATTGTTTTCCTGCTTGAGTATTTTTCAGTATGGCAGGCTTAAGATCTCTGAATCCTTTAAAGGGCTGAGTATTTAAGCATCCTACTCACCAAAGGTTTTGTATGCCAGCCAATTTCTTGGCTTTCAGTTTGTGGCTCTGAGTATTTCTCTCTTGGCACCACTGCTGCACGGTGAAGAAGTTTCAGGAATTCATCTGTTGTTTTAAAAAACGAGACACAAATACAAATGAAAGTGTGTTTAAAAACAGCCCCTGTGCTTCTGTGAATCATACTGTCAGAATGCATGGTGACATTTCTACTCAAATATTTCCCAAGGAAGTTTCAAGATTTGCCTGACAGTACTGTCCTGTAATTCTGTATCCCTGACTACTGTACTGCAGCATCTTGCTTTTCCTATACCACATCTAGTACAAACCAGTGCTCCATGACAGCTCTCGACTTTCTTGGTTGCCTGAGACCTGCAGCCTTCCCCTGGTTTGGTTTGCCACCCTCCTCAGTCCCTGAATAGAGCAGGCCAAACTTACCTGACCCATTAAGGTTCCTAGACAAAACTGGCATGTTAAAAATAAGGGAGTAGCTGCTCTAAGGGCTCTTATCAGTATTCTAAAGTAAGACTGGACAGTAATTTCAGCAGTTTAGTTGGGTAGAATCTGCAATGGCAGGCAACATGCTTCTAGGTATTTTTGTTTTCCTGACAGGTTTAGATTCTCAACCAAAATTTTATAGTGTCGCAGACATCTTTTTATGAAAATCCTTTTCTTAGGATTTTTTCCTGCTGAGAAGCTGAGAGGTTTCAGCAACAAAATGTAAACAATGGTTATCTGCTGCTTGCTGTGGAATACATCAGGTGTGTCTGTGACTGGCATCTTGAATGTTTAGAATTAATGGCCAACCACAGCCCAGTTAGCTTGGACTCTCTGTCCGAGACACAGACCTTTCTTATTCATTCCATTCTATTCTTAGCTTAGCTAGCCTTCTGAGATGAAACTTTTTCCTTCTATTCTTTTTAGTATAGTTATAATGTAATATATGTATCATAAAATAACAAATCAAGCCTTCTGAAATATGGAGTCAGACCTACGTCTCTTCCCTCATCCTGAAAACCCCTGTGAACACTGTCACATTATAGTATGAATATAAGGAATTTTATCTATTTTACAGTTGCTCCATATTTTAATTAAAAAGAAAAATAAGACCATAATTGCATGGATGCAAACTTGTGCTGAAAATGGAAAGCAATAGGAAAGGGCCTTAAAGTGGGCAAAACCTGCTTTACAAACAAAAATCATTTATGAGATTAACTTATATGGTCACAGAGGTGTGTCCGCATACATGCTATTTTAGACTGGTTACAATTACTAAATCTTATGTGTTAATAATTTTCTTATGTAGTTACCACAAGCTTTTCAGAGACTTCTTACCATCTATTGGCTCCTGTATGTTCTCGTGCCAAGACATTGGCTTCCTAGAAACCATGTGGACTGGAGAGAAATGAGAGGTGAATGACTTTAATGTGAATTTGGCATCACAGCCAGGTATAGAATATGTATTAATGAACTGCTTGTGCATAGAAGAAAATGAGTTTCTTCTTGTTTCCCAGGTTCCTTTTGACCGCAGTGATACCAGATTCTACTGTGAAATACAGATTAATGGCAACTTCTAGGAAGGGAAGGGCATTAAGTGTGCTAAAGACCTTTCAATAGGATGCTGCCTGCGCTTACCATATCAGAGTCCCACCCCAGCCAAGGGATAGCCTGCAGAGTGCCAAGTCTCAGGAAATCATTTTTCTTTGTTGTTTTATTGAAAAACTTAGACCTGAAAGAATCTACTTACATCACCTGCCTGTGCTAACACAGACTGTGAATTAGCAGGTAGAAAGTGATCAGGACCTGAAGGAACAGGGTGTAGTGTTGGGACCCTCTACCCCATCTTGGCTCTGTATTTTCACTGAATTTGTAAATTCCACACCCTAAATAGTTGTCTCACTTCTACGTGGTTACTGAAGGCACCATCTAGGCAAGCGGGTCACGTCCGTGTTCTGTCTCTGAGTGTGCAAAAGGGAAGTGCACCAGTTGCCCTTTCCAGCTTTACCCCCTCGCTGGCCGCTCTGGGCTGCGGCTGTTCGTCCCTGAGTGCAGCTGAGCGCTGCGGGCCTGCCCCGGCCCCCCCACTCCCTTCACCGCTTGTTTTGCCCCCGGGGCTTTACGCCGGTTCCCCGTGGTTGGCCGGGAGGCCTCACCGGGATGGATGGGGTTCACAGTATACTGGGTGAAGAGCAGCTGCCAGCGGCGCTCCTTCCTGGCCCGCTCTGCCTGGAGGCGGTTCTGCCGCGCGTCCGGCGGGTCCCGCTCTCCGCGGCGAGCGGCCATGCCCGCGCGGCTGCCCTAGCAACGCCCGCGTGCTGCCGCCGGGGCCGCTGATTGGCCCGCGCGGCGCTCCGCCTCGCGCCCCGCCCTTCCCGCCTCCTATTGGCCGCCGAGTTAAAGCCCCCGGCGCTGATTGGCGGCGGCGCACGCGGCCCGTTTGAACGGTCGGTGGGGCTGATGGAGGCGGCGGAGCTGCGCTGCACGGCGGCCGTGGAGCAGCCGCTGCCGGGGGGCCTCGCCCCGCGCCGCCGCCTGATGCGGAACGCGACCGTGCTGCTGGGCCGCAACGAGCTGCGGCAGCCCGTGCTGCGGGTGGCCGGCGGCAGCGGCGCGGCGGCGGCGGTGCTGAGCTTCGTGCTGGCCGGTGATGCCGTGAGGCTCTTCACGCGGTTCGCGGGCGAGGGGCGGGCGGCGGTGCGGGTGGGGCCGGACGGCGCCCAGGTGCTGCTGTCCGACTGCCCCCCGGACGCGCTGCGCCGCTTCCTCCGCCTCCTGCGCGTCAAGGTGGCCGCCGGGCCGCGGGACGCGCCGCGCCGCCCCCGCCTGCTGGAGCGGCCGCCGCCGTCCTTCTCCGTCATCAGCCCGGTGCAGGAGCGGGACCTGCTAGGCGGCCCCGGCCGCCGCCAAGAGTGCGGGCAGCGCCCGGCGGAGGTGAGTCCCGGGGCAAGGGGGCGGCCCCGGGGAGCGGCCCTGCCCAGCCTCACAGCGCGCCCCTCCTGTCCCGCAGGTGCCCCGCGCGGAGAGGCGGCCCCCGGCGAGGCTCTCGGCGGAGCAGGAGGCGGTGCTGGGCGCCGTGCGGAGCGGGAAGAGCATCTTCTTCACCGGCTCGGCAGGTGAGCATCATCTTCACCGGCTCCGCAGGTGAGCGGTCCTGGCCACTCTCATCGGCTCCCCGGGGAAAGTCCTGGCCATTGACCTGTTGCTTCTCTCTCGAAGGGACTGGGAAGTCGTTCCTGCTGAAGAGGATCTTGGGCTCCCTCCCTCCCAACATCACCTACGCTACAGCCAGCACGGGAGTGGCGGCTTGTCACATCGGTGGCACAACTCTCCACGCCTTTGCAGGTGATGGCCTGCCCGACAGTGAGGGGCTGGGAGCTCTTACTCCCTTCCCAAAGAATCAGGAGCATCCTAAAGCATTGCTTCTTTTGTCCTGTGACAGGGATTGGCTCTGGGAAGGCACCGCTGGAACAGTGCATTCAGCTGGCAGAGAGGCCGGGGGTGCGCCAGCACTGGCTGGCCTGCCAGCACTTAATTATTGATGAGATCTCAATGGTGGACGGCAAGTTCTTTGACAAGCTGGAAGCAGTGGCAAGGTGAGCAATTGTCAGGTCTAACAGCAATGAATTTCTCTAAACTTCCAGTCTGCTTCCTTTCTTTCGTTTTGTGAATGGATACAAACAGTTGCTTCGACAGGATGGTAAGGAGGCATGAAATCATAGCATCTGGGTCAATCTTTATTATGAGATAGGTTTTGGTCATGTCCACTTCTCACTCACAGCTGTGGCTCTTTGGGTTGTTCTCTCCTGAGCTAAGTGATGTCTATAGAGCTGAGTCCAGAATATACAGCTCTGCCCAAAAGGTCTCTCTTGGCAGAGAGAAGTAGCTGTAGTATAACAGCCACTAAAGAACCAAGACCAGTATTGACCTCTGGGCTAGGTAAGCAAAGAAAATTTAATGTCTTGTACTCGCACTGCTTAATTATTTGAGCTCTTCTTTGGCAGCTGGGGATAAACATCTTTCACTGCAGGTTGTCTAGGTTTGAATATACTGACAGATTAAGAAGCAACTTCTGGGACCTGACTATATCTAGATTCTGGAAGACATTCAAAACTTCTCTTCTATCCCTTTCAGGGCTGTCAGAAAACGGGATGAGCCTTTTGGAGGAATTCAGCTAATTATCTGTGGGGATTTCTTACAGCTACCCCCAGTCTGCAAGGCTAATGAAGAAACCAAGTTCTGCTTCCAGGTACAAAACTGTTCCTAAATTCATTCTCATACCTCAAGTCTGCCTCTTTCTTAACAAGACAATGATTTTTCCAGGCAAAAAGCTGGAGGAAATGCATCCACATAAACATGGAGCTGACTGAAGTGCGGAGACAGACTGACAAGACCTTTATCTCAATCCTGAGTGCAATCCGTTTAGGCAGGTGAGGAGAAACTCTTTGTAATCCTGCTCCCCACAGGTGGAGCAGAGTAAAGAGCAGTTTTTCACTTTTCTGTACCCTGTCAGGAATGCGTGGCTGTGGGCAAAAGCTATAAATGCTTTAGTTAACATAGACAGGTTTCATATATGCTGCTCTGGTAAGGAAGGGTCTTCCTAGGGTCCCTGTGCAATTTCTGTGAATTAATTCAAAGGATCCTGAGCTGGCAGGGCTGGGGCACACACTGGCTCTGCTCTCTCACTTTTTGCAGGGATCCTTCTCTGTCCTCTCTGGAGGCCTGTAGCTTGCACAGACTGATCTAGCTGTGTGGAGGTTACTGCTGCTCGAACCTGTCCCTGATCACTTTAAAGAAGAATTCCCTTTTCCCGGCTACCAGGTGCACAGAGGAGGTTACCAGACAGCTGATGCAGACAGCTGCTCACAAGTCTGAGCGCGATGGGATCCTGGCTACGAGGCTGTGCACCCATAAAGATGATGTAGAAATAACCAACGAGAGACGCTTGCAACAGCTTCCAGGTGAACTCGGTGGAGGAAACTACTGGCTCTGGGGCTGAGCTTTGTGTGGGTGCAGTTGGGGGTACTGGGGTGGGACCAGTGTTCTGTCATGCACAGCAGCACCAGTCCAAGCTCTGTGTGTTGTGTTGAGGTGTCTGGGGAAAAAAATTTAGTTTTTTGTTTAAAAAGCCACAATGTCACTGGTTTGTAAGAAACAGCAAGCTCATTGCTTGCTGTGAGGTAGGGTGGGCAATTAATTGCCTCCACACCCCTACTTTTTCTTTCTATAGCATCTTAGAAAGGCCATGTTCTATCCAGCCATGACTTGAATTAAAGACTATTTAATTTTTTGTCTCCCTTGCTGGCCCTTGGATTCTTCCTTAGTCTGCTTTGGAGATCTGGTGTTGGTAGTGAGTGAAACTGCTCAAAATGCTGTCTACTCAGTTCTTATTTACTGCTGACCTTTCATTCCTGTGCCTTTTCATGCTCTGGAAGTTAGATAGGGAAAAGAGGCAATAGTGAGCTCTCTGCTGTTAGATGTGACTAGGTTTGTGTGAGGATATCCTAGCAGCAGAGCAGAATGGATATTAAAAGAGGAATTGCTGTTAGAAATAAATGCTGAATGTCCTGAAATGCTGTGTAGAGTATGTTCAACAGTTGTAAGTTCTGTCTTTCCTTAACAGGAGAAGTGCATGTGTTTGAGGCTTTGGACAGTGACCCAATGCTAGTGAAGTTAATTGATGCTCAGTGTCCTGTGGGTGGTAGAGTTGAGCTAAAGCTTGGAGCTCAGGTAAGTGTGTGTACACACATATGATAGACCAGAACAAATGGCATAAGAAAAATGGAGGAATATCAGAGAAATGTATAGAGTAGATTAATATATAGAATGCAAATTCAGTCTAGAATGATAATGCCAGGCCAACAGGAGATGATCCCAATCTCCTGTATCTTTTCTGATTAGAGTCTTATCCACACAGAAGATGAGTTCAGGTCCATGTCTTGAGGACAGTGGTGATTGCTGTGACTTTGACAGACATGTCCAGTCATATTTAGAACTTTCCAGTAGCAGAGAGCATAAGCAGTCCTTGCCTGCAGTCTCAGCTCCAGGTACAGCAGCCCTCCCCACCTGTAAAGGTAGGGCACAGCTTGCCATATTTGCTGGGCTGGGCACCTAGCTCTGAGCTGGGGCTGTCAGAATGGAAAGGATGTGGGATTGTACTTAGTAGTAGCACTGTTTTCTTTGGAAACTTGTTCCTTTGCTATTCCCAGAATCTGTATTTGTATAGGCTGGTGATGCCTGGTGGAGGGGAAACTGCTCCCTGGATCTGAGCTCACAGCTGTGGACAGAAATAGCTCGAGTAAAGTGTTCAATGCTGCAAAATGATGTAGTTAGGAATCCTAGGAAGGAAAGGCTATGAAAGAATTCCAATCAAATGGGAGATGGTGCTGCAATAGGCAGGATAGGACGATTTGGCCAAATCAGCCTGATGTGCTCATGCTTCCTGGCAAGAAGTTTAGCTGCAGGTAGCTGAACAGGCTGTAGAAGCAGTGCATTGAAGATATTTCTTTTTCTCTGTAGGTGATGTTAGCAAAGAACCTTGATGTGTCTCAAGGGCTGGTGAATGGGGCACGAGGTGTTGTTGTAGGGTTTGAAAGTGAACAGAAGGGTAAGCAAGCCTTTTGATCTTTTGTTGAAGGAAGTGGGAAAATAACAAAACAGTGTGTCATTGGTGGCTGATGACTTCTTTATTTGTTTACAGCTTGGTAATAATTTGAGGGAAAACAGAGAGATCTCTGCAAGCTTGGGGCTCTCACGAGCTGTGATGTCATGCACTGCATCAGCTACAGCTATCTGTAGGCCTCTTGTGTTCTGTATTCTGTATGCAAATGTGTATGCTCATTTGAATTTCCTGTTTGCTCTGCTGAAGCAAGTTTTGATTAATTTTTGTTTGTTTTTCTCAAAGAATAATCTTCTGCTACCTGCAAAATGTATTTTTCTCTGCATCTTGACTGGTAAAATTACCTGCCTTTAATTCTTCTGCTTAAGTAGATGTCAAACATCATTTTAGGACATGCTATTAACTGTCTGTGGATTTAGGTTTGGTTTAGGCAGAAAAAAGGTGTTCTTTAGCTGCTGACATCCTGGCTGTTGAATGTCAGGAATACATTCCTGTTTTTTTTCCTGCTCCCATTCCTACAGGGCTGCCTAAAGTGAGGTTTCTCTGTGGGGTCACACAGCTCATAAAAATGGAGAAATGGGTCATCAAAGGACCATCAGGAGTTCATCTGAGTCGTCAGCAATTACCTTTAAAATTGGCATGGGCCATTTCCATTCACAAGAGTCAGGTGGGTGTTCTTGTACAGCTGTCTATAAACTTTTACACCATTATAAACCTGATTTCCTGGGTGAGCTTGTATTGCTGGTGAAACAGGAGGGGAAGCTGAAAGGCCCTTGCTGGGGGGAAGGCCAGAATATGTGTCTAGCTGCAGAGAGTGGGGCTCTCAGTACTGCTGGGGTTTCCCTAAGGGCACTGCCATCTGCAGAGTTGGAGTTGGGCTATACAGCAGCATTATTTATCACTCTGGGCTGATGAGGGTAGTGCTCCCCTGAGAGCACTGGGGACCTGAGCTCTGCAGTGTCACTGAGGAGGCTGCTGGAGCCACAGCTGTGCTCTTTGGGCTGGACTCGCCCTTTGGTGGTGCAGAGTGGGGATTTTTTCAATATAACTTTCAATGTGACAATGTAATATTTTAAAAGTTCCTTTCTTTCCAGAAGACTGCATATTTGATAAATACTGGTCTTGGAGACCTGTGAGTTTATTCCTGTGCCAAAGTTTAAACTAGGCCATGCTGTAAATTCTGCTGCACCTGGGACAACCCATGGGGCAGGGCTGGCCAGGCCTTACCCAAACTCTCTCTCAGGTCTCCCTGAGGACTGCTTGAGAATGGTGCCTGCTCCAGTTAACTACTAAGAGTGAAATCAGCAGGATTTCTTCCCCTGCTATCTTGATTAGATGGGATTTATGGAGTTTCACACAACAAGAGCCTCACTGGAGTTAGTTAGTGGATCCTACTGTCTGCTAGAAATTTCCTGACAGTGGAAAAATGTCTTTGCTTTCTACTGATTCCCTTTTTTTTAAAATCAAAACCTTTTCCCAAAGATGGTACCTTGGACAGACCCACAGGACAGATTAGTGCTGATACATCCCAGTGTTTGTTTGCTGTGTAACCCAGCCCTCTGTGCCTTTGGCAGGGCATGTCTCTGGACTGTGTGGAGATCTCCCTGGCCAGAGTCTTTGAGAGTGGCCAGGCCTATGTAGCCCTGTCCCGAGCCCGAAGCCTGGCGGGGCTCCGTGTCCTGGATTTTGACCCCAAAGCAGTGAGAGCTGATCCTGCTGTGCTGCACTTCTACAGGCACCTGAGGCATCACCAGCTTCTAGCCCAGGTAAAGGAAAATCCCACTCTAGCAAAGCTGCCCTGTGCCACCAGGATGAGAGATGTGGTCACCAGGATGTTTCTTTTACTTCCTAAGCAAGATCAACATTTGTGGCAGGAGAGATGAAACTGCAGAGAGGGCATGTAGCAGGGCAGCTCTTGGTGGCAAAATACCCCTGTAGAGTTGGGGTTGTGTAACACTACCTGGTCCTCTGGGTGAAAGGATGGGTTGGGATTCTTTGAGCCTCCTCTTGCAGTAAGGATTGAGGGAGAAGTGGGCACAAAAGAAATTTCTGGTATGTTTTTTCTTTTTCTTTCTCCTCAAGGATTCACTACACACCCATTCAGATGCTGATGAGAAGGAGAACTGGAAATGCAACTGAGAATGCTCTTCTAGTCTCTGTGAGGGGTCAGCTCAGCCTGCTGAGATGCAGCAATCTTGCTGTGTATATTTGATAACACAGACAAAGTCAAAGGAGATTTTTTGGATGTTTGCTTCATTCAGCTGACTCTGGATATGTAGAACTATCCCCATCTCACATCTCTGGAATTCGGAAGGCTTCTGCAGACCCTTTTGAGCCCCCAGCCTTGAGTACTCCTGTGTCACAAATGCAACTCTAGCAAACAAAATGACTGAACAAGGATGTACCTGAGGGACATTTCTACAGTTTTGTGCTGTCTGAGGTACCTTCCTACCATTCTCTCCTGCCTGGTCATTGTATTTCATTATCTGCGCATATAGACTGAGACCTGTGTGCCTTTCTTCAAGTATACCACTGTGGAGAGATGGAAAGTGTGTCCTCTTTGCTTGGATGGATTGCTCACAAGGGAAAGCAGTGCTAAATATCTGGAATACTTGATTTACCTGCAAGAGAAGAGCTGTTCTTGCTGCCTGACTCCAGGAGTCTGCATAACTTCTTCCACAAGCAGAACTGTCAGAGTTGCACATGGCCTGTTATGCTGATACATAGCATTTTTATTAGTCTGTTGCATACAATGAGGTGATATTTTTCAATCTTTTGAGATGAGCTGGCACTATTTAAAAATAGGAGGGAGTCCTACATCTTATACCCATAATTATGGAACTATAAGAACTGTGAAGATTGATCACCCCATGAGCAAGAAGGGGATCAGAGGACATGGGTGCTGGTGGGACCCCTCTTGTTTAAACACATGAGGCTCCCATTCAGATGGGAGTTTCTCCTGGAAAAAATGTCTGACTAATAAGGTGGAACTTGAGTGTGCAACAGAGGAATGGCTAAGGACATGGGAAGTGTGCTGTAACTTCACTCATTTCAGCAAAAGCAGAGATGAGCAGAACTAACGTGCTGTCTGCTTAATAAAGGAGAAGCTTTGGTCTTTGTATTTTAGCACTTCGCTTAAAGCTAGAGTAACTTGCATATTTTAAAATGTTTTACATATGGGAATAACATGAAATAACATCCAGCTGGAACTTGTCTCCTGCAGGGGCATTCTCTAAAAAAGCCTTTGCAGTGTAAGCAAGTTGAAGGCCATTTCTTGGCAGCTGCTCTCCATAAGGCCAGGAAAGGATGTTGGCTAGCCAGTGGTTAACATAACAGAAAACAGACTTCAATAGGATTTCAAAATGTATTTTTTTGTTTTGCTTTGGGTTTCTTTGTTTGATTTTTTTTTTTTCTGGGCTTGAGAAGGTAGAGTCTTGGAGGAAGCAGTAGTATAAGACAGAAGTGTTACTATTATTCAGAGAGGTTCTTAATGTATCAGCGCATTGTTTGGTGGGGAGTGGATGGAAGTACCTGGAGGTGGAGCTGGAGCCTATGGAAGGCAAGTCCCAAACCTTGTGCTTGGCCAGGGGGCTGGTTTCAGTTAGCATTCTTGTGGGTTTTTAAAGATGGGATGCTGCAGTATAATGAGGGATTTATGTTGCATTGGACTTTAAAGTATGGAGCCTGAAATGCCCAGAATGCTAAATTGAGTTTTACTGTTGGGGTAGACAGCTATGAAGAATATGCCAGGCAAGTCCAGTCATTGACAATAAATTGATTTATTGTTTGATTACGTAAGAGCGATAAGGCAGGTTCAAATCCTTTAATTACTCTTAAAAAGTTCCTGTACCCCTGTAATTGCAAAACAATTCAGAGTGTAAGACTAGTGATTATGTGCAATGCAAATAAACTTTTAATAATCATCTTGTGAAGTAACTCACTTAACTTTCATGGACTTAGGGACTGAAATCTTTGCAGATGTATTGGGGGGTAGGGTTGGTGCCAATTTGAGGTAAAATGCTAAACAGAACTTAAAAGATGAAAAGGTGAATATTTCATTTAGTATTAAATCTAGGTGAAATATTGTGCATGCATTCTCAGTGATGGAACTGTGGAAGCAGAATCACTGTGGCTTTTGAAGGGCTGGCAGCTGCTCTGAGGCCAAAAGGTATCCATCTGTGTAAACTCTGGCTGTTCTCACTTCCAGCTAGAGCAGATATGTGGATGGGTGGTGAGTTTGAAAGCTGCTATTTGAATCCTAAAAGAAGCAGTCAGGACAAATCTGAGCTGACAGGCTCTGTCATGGCTCCCCTTGGGTTGGGATTATGATGAGGCCTTTTTAAAATGGAATAATGCTTTCCTACATGAGCAAAAAAAATCTTGTCATACAATAAATATCCCTTCTTCCATATTCTCCCTAACATGTTAATTTTTCTTAGAGATACTATCTAGAGCTAGAACTCAGTACACCCCCATGAGATTAAAAAAAAAAAAAGGCAAAACAACAAAACCACAACTTATAATTTAAGCCTTTAAACATCTGCCTTAACTGCAGCTATTATTAAGTGAATTAAACTAAGAGTTTGATTCATAATTGGTATTTCTGTTACTACAAAGTATAGCCATTCTCATTTCAAATACACTAAACCATAAGAAACTGCTTTACACCAGCTAAAGCTCCATAATACATTTGTGTTATTGGAAGCATAATTCACAAACAGAGTGTTATTAAAACCTTACCAGCTTCTAGTTCAAGTCTTTGTATGGTGATTTAACACCCTTCCTATTCTTTATGTGACATTTTCATTATAATTAAACGAATATGTGTCCTCACAGCCTGTGCCCACAAGTCCTGTGAGCACAGGAAAGGCAGCAATAGTCCTGTTGATCTTGGATGCTGTAATAAGATTGTGTCCAGGAATTAGACCTTCATATTCAGAATTGCTCTGAATAGATAAAAAAATGCTGCTCTTAAGTGATGGAAATACAGTACATTATTGGTTGTGCTATGAATGCTAATAATGTCATTTTTCTTGTAGATATTACAAGTTTCTCATTTTATATTAGGCCACTCTGTGACATGTAATTGTCTTCTGCTGTTAAATCTAAGCAGTTCTATTATTAGCATGAGAAAAGACATGAATTGCTGGAGATTGCATTTAGATGTGTAAAATTTCTATTTTGCTGTTTCCTATATAACTATTTTATGCTTGTTACTATTAAAAATCATAAGATGTATGGAATATTTTAGCTGAGCTACTGACTAGTATATAATTTATGAAATCTTGTTATAGAGGCAAAATAAGTGGATAGGAAGTCTAAGAGTAGTTTTTCACTTATAATTCTTAAATACTGCACTATTTGATCTTTTTTCTTTTAAATTTGTTATGGTGTTGATACAGGGGGCAGTCAGATGTGACAAAGAATGAGAGCCCTCCTGGGGTGGCAGCTCTGTAGGCACCAACAGCTTCCTACCTGGTACCACACGTGGGCAACTGGGTTCCAAGGTAACACATTTTTTCTAAATTGCTTATTACAATATTTCTGCAATGACAACTACGATAAAGATGTCTCTGTCAGAAATTTAAGATTTTTAATGAAGGTTTAAAAAAATTATTATATGGACTTCGTTGGGTTTTTTTCCCCCTCTTATTTCTCAAAATATGTGTTTTTTGTCAACAGACAGGTGAATGTGTAGAGGAACCACACCTTCCATCTACTGCTTCTTAAGCCACTGGGCTGTCTCTATATATCAGTTTTCTGTAGGACACTTAATTTTTGTTTTTCAAATTACTATGAACACCCTGAGAATTATAGGGGGACTTGCACAGACTTCCAGTTGGAAGTTAGGAGTTGGTCCAGGTCTTCAGATTTTGGATTCTGGATTGTTTACTGAAAGATCTGTGATTCCCTTTAATTAAATGTCAGGTTAGAAAGGGTACAACTTATTTGAAGACAATGCTAGACGTTAAATTAAAAACATAAGTAAAACTTCTTAAGATTATTCCAGTAGATAATAATTCACAAAAACAAGGCATCACATATCTTTTTGTATTTCCAAGTAAAGGCTGGACAAGCTTACTGAATGTAACAAATCAAATATGAAAAATATTGATGTGAATTAATGAGAATAACTTGGATTAAAAAACAACTTCTAAAGGTTGTGATTTATCTGGGAAGAGAATATGTAGTGACCAGCCAGTTTTTAGGTTGTTCCATAAGAAAATTCCAGGTAAGTTACCTTTGTGTTTGTGTTGGATTAATAGGACACCTTGTAATAAAATATTTGACCCTAATAACACCAGGTCCTTTCAACTGACACTTAGAAATACAAAGTACATTTTAAAAACAGATCTTGAATCTTGAGCAATGAGCTAGTAATTCATTGCCAGAATGTCAATGCATAAGACAGGGGGATGTTACCAGATCTGATTTAGTAATAAAGAAGGAAGCTTTAATAATAAAGAAGGAAGCTCTGAAATTGTTTGGGTTTTACCCAAACAATTTCCTCTCCAGATGAGAGAGACCTTGCAATAACCTTAACCCTTTTACATGTGATGGTAGCAAGCTATGGCTATTTTAACATAAAATCCCCACTGAAAATAGAACACATCAGATGATTCAGTCAGGTTAAAATGACAAACTTTCATAAAATCTTGTCCTTTTGTCTTCATTAGCCATAATTATTGCTGTCAGTTTTAAACTTTGGGAAAAATACAACATGTCTTCATTTTGTTTTAAAAATAAAATATAAAAATGGCTCTGTAGAAACAATTTTAAGTTCATGTTCAAGATACAGTAATATTTTTGACAGATTGCTGTGAAGTCCTGTGCACTCTCGGATCTCAAAAAAAGTACAAGGTCAAAAGTACTGTTTGTAATGCCCTATATATTTTAACAGAAATATTGTCAAAACAAATTATAATCAGGTTTTGACACTTGTCCTGAAAGTGTCAAGGCCTCCATAAAATATAATACCTCAGAAGCTTCAGGCAAAAACTCCTAAGTGTGATATTCATTCAATAACTCTGTAAAGCGTAGATCATCTTGCAGTGTTCGGTTTTGGGGTCAGGACACTAATATGAGAAAGAGGTGCCAGCCCCTTAACAACTTCTGCTATAGATTTCATGAGATGTTCT